CTCTTAAGAAAAGCAGGTGGTGGGGGAAGGGAGGGAAATCAGACTGGCAGTCCTCTGCTTTCCAAGTCACGTGAGATACGTTTCCACGTTTCCTTTCAAACCACCTTTTCCTTGAGCTTCTGGTTCTGTCAGAATTACGGTTACCACTGTCAGCAAGAAAGTATGAAAGAGATGTACCCAGAATATTGGCAGAATCTTATCTGAAGTGTCTCTTCAATACGTTAGTGTGTGAGACAAAGCTTTGCACAAGTCTTACTACCTCTTCAAAATGACTCAAACACATTTTATGCATAAACGGACATGTTAGTTGAAAATATTCTTGTACAACCATTTGAAAATAGCAATTTAAACAAACGAATTAGAGGGCTGTACTGACAAGCGTGTAGAGGGCCCTAGGTTTGATTCAAAGGCATCACAAGTGAAAAAGAAAAAGGAAAAGAATTTATTTTTTCCAAAGATGGAGGAATTATTGGCTTACAAATTTCCTAGGACCATAGTTTGTAAAACTGCCTATCTACCAGAACTGGTTTCATGGTTTCAAATATAATACGGATGTTCAAGTCTCACCTTAGATTTCCTAAATCACATCTTTTACATACCTTGTGCAGTTCTCGAGAATTTTTGGAAGAGCTCTGAGGCTGATTCTGATCTGAGAGCAAGTTCAAGGGTTACATTTGTATAATGAAGAGTGTTAATGAACACTTTGTGATCTTATTTTATTGTTGCATCATTTGATAAATGAACAGCAAAAACTGCAAACACTTCAATTCAATTGAAGCTGTATCATGAGCCTTCTATCTGGATTTTTATTAGAAATCTCAATTACGCAAACTGTTCTTAAGAGGATATTATTTAAGACTTGTGAAAGAATGAAGTTAGACCTTTGCTTTTATGTCTTCTATAAAACAACTCAAAATGGATCAAAGCCTTAAATGTAAATTTTGAAACTGTGAAATCTTAGAAGAAAAGCTAAGGAGAGCTTCAATACCTTAGACTAGATTAGGATTTCCTGGGCAGGATTAAAAAAAAAAAAGCTCAGGCAATAAAAGTAAAAGAATGTACAAAGTAGACCACGCCAAAATTTATCATTGGGCATCAAAGACACATTCAACAGAATTAAAAAAACAACATATGGGATAAAAGAAAATATTTGTTAACTGTATATCTGATAAAAAGAATAGCATCCAGAATGCACAAATAACTCTCGCAACCCAGCAACATAAAACTAAATAACTGTATTTGTAAATGGACAGAGACCCCAAAGATTGCAAAGGAATAGCTAAAATGCTTATGTAAAGATATTCAAAACTGCTCCTCACTGGGCAAATGCAAATAAAGACTTTCATGAAATATTATCAATTAGGATGGTTATTGTTTTTTTTCTTTTTAAGTGAGGAAAGGATGTGGAGGGATGGAAACCTTTGTGTACCATGGAGAATATCAAATGGCACCATTATTAAACTCAGACGCATGGTTGTTCATATTTTAAAAGAAAATTTAGATTAGCCAGTGATTAAACAATCTTACCCTGAGTATGCAAAAGAATGGAAGGGATTTTTCAGAGAAACTCGCAAAACTGTGTTCACAGAAGCAGTATTCCCCCAAGCCCATATGCTGGGCCGGCCATCAATAGATAGTGATGAGCTTTGGGAAATATGCTTAAATGAACACTTTATCAACAAGAGACAAATACTTATGATCTCCCTTAGACGAGGAATCGCGTAGCCAAACCCATGTGCATGGAAGGAGCTGAGGGGAAGAATTGTGGAGTTAATTGTTTTAAAAGGTATAAAGTGCCAGCTTTGCAAACTAAAAAAGTGTGGAGCTTAGCTGTATAATAATACAAGTATGAGTAATGCTACTAAATTGTATACTTAGAAATGGTTACAGTCGTACATTTTTACATCATTTAATGTAAATATGTTTAACTTTGCTGAATTGGACATCTAAAATGGTTAGGATCATATATTTTACATGTTTTACTCTACTAAATTGTATACTTAGAAGTGGTTCCAATCATGCATTTTATGTTGTGTGTGTGTTTTAAAATCACAATTTCTTAAAGAAAATATTATGTTTTTTAAAAAATGCATGTAATTTAAGAAATCTGCTAGAAAAGCCAATTTTTGCTAAATGAGTTTCTGTAATTATAATCCTCCTACTGTCCATTAGTAGATTTCATCTAAGTAAATAATCTACAAAATAAAGAAAAATGTTGACAAATGTTTGAAAAAGCATAGTGCATAGGGAATCATAGTTTTATGATATTCAGAATACTTGATATGTAAATACCTATATGAATGTACTCTTCTTATTGTGAAAATAAAATCACTACCATAGTTTGCCCTTAGTAAGTGCACCATATACAAGATAAATTGAGAATCTAGTTATCTATTTAGTGTTTTATATTTCAAATACAATCTTTCATTTTTACTGTGGGTGAGAGTAGCCATTAACCTTATATTTTGCTCTGCTTGAAGAAACACGTTTGTGACCATTTCCCCCCTTCCTTCCTCCCTCCCTTCCTCCCTCCCTCCCTCTCTCCCTCCCTTCCTTCTTTCCTTCCTTCCTTCTGTCCTTCCATCCTTCCTTCTTTCCTTCCTTCCTTCCTTCTGTCCTTCCATCCTTCCTTCTTTCCTTCCTTCCTCCCTCCTTCTATCCTTCCATCTTCCCTCCCTCCCTCCCTCCCT